GTGCACTCGGTTGACCCCTTCAACTGAGATTATTTGGGCATCTCAATTCTCTATAATAGAAGAAGACAAAAACGTATCGACAAAAGCTCCCTCCTGCCCACCAGCCACGGCGCGCAACGCGCAAGCCTGCCAGGCTCAGACCGGGGCGGGCCCAAAAGAGGAGGGACGGGGCAAGCCCAACCAAAAACAGGACATTGAAGGAATCTGAACATCCTGTGCTTGAAGAGTTTCTTGTTAGACAGCTGAGCCCACGTTCCTCCTTCGAAAAACTAAGGCAACAACCTCCCGCTCCACGCCGTGTCCTCTCCCGGCGTGCGCGCGCGCCATCGCTCACACCTCGAAAAGAAAGGGGGGCAACCCGCAACGGGCAAAAAAAAAAGGAATCGCGGGTCGGAGGAATCTAACCTCCATATGTTCGGACAGTCTCTCGTAAGATGACTGAGCCCAACGGGGGACTCGAATTCCCAATCTTTGGATAGCACCGCCCGAACTACGACCGAGAGTATAGGCAGACGTAGTGTGGGTTTGGTCTTTTCAGCTCTCACAAATTTGCAGAAGAAAGAGATGGTATGCAACGTATTTAGTACAGCCAAAACACAGAAGATTCACTATCTACTACAACTGAACGCCCACATCCTCCCTCATCGCTCAAAGGCTCGCCTTCCTCGTGGAGGCCTTGAGGAATCCAGCAAAGTACGAGTCAAGCGCCTTGAACCCGTCCTCGTTGAGCGTCGTCACAGCTCCAACATATCCATCAGGCCTGACAACGATGATCGACCCCTTGTTGACGTCGACACCGTACTTGGCGTGCAGCGGCGCCTTCTTGCCGACCTCAGCGACGCGCCAGTCGAACTGGTCGTCCGCGTAGATCTGATCTCGGTAGATACGGAGGTTGTAAGGCATGTCCTCGATGTCCCACTCGGTGTGAGGGTCCGCGAAGACGGTGAGGAACGTGAAGAAGGGGTTGGGATCCTGCGTCGCCTGCTCCTGCTCGATGTGGCGCTTGGCGAAGCCGTTGCCGTCGAGGATGGAGGAGAAGGAGCCGGAGGTGGGGCGGTAGAGGTTGAGGAAGGAGGTAGGGGAGGTGAGGTACGAGTCAAAGGCCTTGAGGGTGGCCTTGGAGGCGGCGTAGTGACCGGCGAAGACGTGGATACGGAACTGTGGGACGAGGTAATTTAGTTTCTGCCGCTAAAAGCGCATCTTGAGGTGTAACTTACAGCACCAGTCATCTTGACCTCCTGCTGGATCCTCACGACGTTGGCATCAACAGCCCTGGTAACCTGATCGTGCAGACACGTCAGCCTTCCATTTCGATTTCGTCGCAGGGCAACGCAAACGCACCTTTCCAGGAAGCAGACGCTGACCAGCGATGAGCTTGTTGCCAGCGGGGTTGAAAACGCCGGCCTTGGTGGTCTTGGCGAGTTCAGAGTCGGGGAGGACGTTGAGGATGTTGGCGTTGTAGACGGCACCACAGCCGCTGTAGGTCACCGAAAGCCGCGTTAGTTCTGAACTCGTTCAGATGAGATAGCACAAAGAAGCGCACGAGGTGAAGAACGCGTTCTGCTTGAACGTCTCGATGAAGAGCTGAGCATCGACAGCGCCCGTCGACTTGGCCTTGCTCTCATCGGCGGTGAGCTGGGACGCCTTGGGACTCCTGCCGGAGAAGAGGGCGGAGTAGGCCGAGTCGAACTTGAGGAGGGCCTCGGCGATGCCCTTACGCTCGGACTCGTAGGTGGGAAGGAGGGTAGCGCCGTCGGCCATGCCCTTTTCGACGAGGTTAAGCTTCCACGCGAGCGAGAACATGTCGAGCATGGAGATGTTCATTCTGACGGAGGACAGCAAAATCAGCTAAACAATCGTTGCATGAAAAGAAAAGAACTGAACGCACCCCTGACCGGCCTTGGGAGAGTGAGTGTGGGTGGCATCTCCACCAAGGAAGACGCGCTGGTCGAGGGTGTAGTGGGAAGCGATACGCTGGCCAATCTCTGCGTTGGAGGTCAGCGTGGGATTCCAGAATGCTTCAATTGTTTGACGGCTCACGGTAGACGGAGAACCAGTCGGTCTCGACGACCTCGAGCTGGTATGGCTCGAAGATCTTCTTCGCGCGGGCGATGCACTACAGAGGAAGCGTGATCAGGTCGTGCTCGAGAGAAAGGGACGGTTGAGAGGAACGCACGATATCCTGAGTAGCATCACGGCCGTAGTGGGTCTTTCCAGCCTCGCCCTTGGCATCAGCCTGGAGCTGAACGTAGAGTCGGCACAGGCCGTTCTAAAGGGAGCTCGGGATCAGCTGTGGTTCGCATCCTGAAGGTCAGAAGAACTCCACTCACCTCACGGGGGATAACCATGATGGATCCATCGGACTTGGAGTGAATGAGACACTTGGACATGATGTCGGGGAAGTCGGTCTTGACAACAACGTCCATCACACCCCTGCGCAAGCAGTCCTAGTCAGCCACGTGTTTCCACCTTTGCGAGAAACGAAAGAGGCGGGGACGCACCAAACAATGTCGGAAGCCTCTCCAAGCATCCTGATGTCTCCCTGCCACTCTCCATCACCCTCCTTTCCACCAGCCATGGCCCTCCTGACCAAACTCCTGGCACCATCACAGCCGAGCAAGTACTTGGCGCGCACGGTGTGCTCCTTGTCCGTCTTTGCGTTGACAATGGTGGCGGAGACGGGGTAGGAGGCGTTGGAGGAAGCGTCGGTGGAGCAAGTCTTGAACTTGAAGGGACGGTTGACACCGCCGTAGGGGGAAGAGTGGACCTTGTTGGCGGGAAGCTTGCGGCGGCGCTGAGGTAGGGAGTGCTCGTCAGATGAGGGTTTTGTCAAAAAAGAGAAGAAAACGCGTACAGCCTCAATCTCGTCGAGGAAAGACCACTCGATCATTCCTTGGTGGAGGAGAAGGGTGAAAGGGTCGCAGACGTCGATGAAGTCGGGGCACGAGGGAGCACGCGAGGTACGCGCGAGCTGCTCCGTCTCGGTAGGGTCCCAGAAAGCGACCTCGTACACACTGTTGAGGTCCGGTCACTCTACTTGTGCTGAAAACAGTGAGGAAAGTCCAATTTACCGAACACCCTGCGCGACCATGCGCTTGGCAAGACCGCCAGTCACTGGGGGGCGGCCAGAAGAAGGGAAGCCCTCGGCGTCCTTCAATCCAACGGAACCAATGTTGCGGAGGACCTATGGGCCAGTATGTTTAGCCTTGAGTTGACCAGAAAAACGCGATGCGGATGCGACTTACCTCGAGGGTTCGGGGCTGGATGCCGTCAGCGCGACCGGCAGTGGTGGGCTCTTCACGGTCATCCTGGAGGGACGCAACTCAGTCAGAAAGTGGTTCATCGAGTTCAAGAGAGCAACTAGATACGAACGATGTGAAGAACAGAGAAGCCGTAGGCTGTAGACGCGCAAACACTCGAGGTCAGCTGCCGGGCCTGAGATCGGAAGTGTGGGGGCAAGACTGACTGGTAAGGCAAAGGGAAGCCATGAGACCGGCAGGGCCGGCACCAACAATGACCATGCTATCAAAAGTGAGAAGGTCAGCTCATTGTTCTACGAGTGTGGCTCATCTAGGACCCGTCGAAGCTGTCGTCTGTCGGAGCGGAGTGGCGGTTGCCGCAGGGAGACTTACTCATATTCGGGAAGGATCTCAAACTCGGTCGACATGTTTGAGTAAAAGTGTGGGAGGTCGGAAGTGAAGGTAGAGGAAGGAAGGAGAGCCAGGTCGGTGCTTAAATCGCAGAGGGGCACGCCCTCACCGAAGCGCATCCGCGTCCGGCGGCGCCGGCAACCATCCTCGAGCGTCCGGGTCAACTTTTTGCAGAGTGCGGGTGGGCACCCCCCTCGCGCTGGCCTGTCGGCAACCCAGCTCAAATCGATCACTTTGTTTTCCCTGGGCCAGAGCTGGCTGTTCCGACGGGAGCCGCCCACCGGAACATCTGGGCGCGTTCGGACGGAACGCGTTGCTCGACCAGGTGAGATACGTGTCGCGCCCCCGCTTATTTAAACGCGTTCACAGTGGCGCATGTCTCCACAGCAGGTGTTTAGGGCTGAGAATCGCCGGACTCCCCATCCTCGGGACTGGAAATCTGCAGCTTGCAGCAGGCACAACGGTGCGCTTTTGAGACTATGAGTGGCCTGATTGCCGAACACTTCAGGGAAATCTTGATGTAGTGCGGATATCCGAATGTCTGTCGGATGGGCGTTCACGGAGTACTTGCTGGTGAAGAAAATGGTTAGAAGGAAAACGGAAGGGGCAGTTGTGTGCATTTGGCCAGTATCTGCTACCTTGCGCTAGCGCTAAGAGACCAGTAAAGAACTTCCAACACGTTGTCTTCCCTCCGCCATCACTCTTCATGTTTCTACCTGCCGGTCCCCGTGGAAAACATGATTCTGGAGTACTTTCAGTAAGCAGCATTTGACATTGTCTGCCACTGTGGCCCGCCCTTAGCAATGTATTTGCATCAACACACTCTGTTTCGATGTGGGCTGCAACAAACAGACTCTATCTCCCTCCATCCCTTCTGGACCGCAAATCGACGTGAGAGTAGCTTTTACTCATCAAGTGAGCTCTCACTTTTGCTTTGAGGGGTCCAGGTTGTCGGTTTGCCGGTGTTATCCCCCGTGAGCTTTGCATCTGGTGCCTATGAGGACAGCAGTACACAACCCTACTCGGAACCCTTTCATTCCTGATTTATGCTTTGCCTCACAAATTCTTTGAATTTCTCTTCCTTCTCCGAGCCCCACTTTTGTCACTCCCCTGCTTTATGAAAGTGATTTAGCCTTCACACAGCAAGTGGCTCACTTGAAAGCGGAGCCACGTGGTGGCGCGCCGTCAGGCGCGCGTGCGCGTGCGCGGAGCGTCGAAAAAGTGTCTTTTTAATTTTCTACAAAGCCGTCGTACCTCACCTTGAAAGAAGCATGTCAAATTTTTTCTCTATTTGCTTAATTTTCTATATACGTCAGCCGGCGCCGAAAAGTCTCACAATCGAACAAGGTTGCCCGGCTGGCCAAATGGTACGGCGTTGGACTTCTATTATTCGATAAGAATCATAGGTGTATCCAAAGATTGCGGGTTCGAGTCCCGCGTTGGGCTGACTGCCCAGAACTTATGGAGGTTAAAATCCTCTGCGTTTTTTTTTTTGACTCTCCCCAAAGCCTCATTTTACATATTTACTTCCTAGCGGACGCGCGGAGCCATGCGCGCGAGATCAAGCACACGAGCGCACCCGCATCTTTTATTGGGGGACTCGGGTCCCCCGTTGGACTCAGTTGTCTTACGAGGGACTGTCCGAACATATGGAGGTTAGATTCCTCCGACCCGCGATTCCTTTTTTTTTTTTTTGCCCGTTGCGGGTTTCCCCCCTTTCTTTTCGAGGTGTGAGCGATGGCGCGCGCGCACGCCGGGAGAGGACACGGCGTGGAGCGGGAGGTTGTTGCATTAGTTTTTCGGAAGAGGAACGGGGGTCATATGTCTTACAAGAAATTCTTCGAGCACATGGAGGCTAGGTTCCTTCAATGTCCTGTTTTTGGTTGGCTTGCCCCGTCCCTCCTCTTTTGGGCCCGCGTCGCCCCCCTCTGTGAGCCTGCCGGGCTTGCGAGTTGCGCGCGTGGCTGGTGGGCAGGGGGAGCTTCTGTTGATACTTACTCTATTACAGCGAGCAGAGAGGCGGAAGGAGTCTCTGTTGAAGGGGTCAACCGAGTGCAGACCCGTCGAATGAGGGCCATATACGCTCGTTGCTGACTTTTCTGACCCATGGAAGCATTTCGATTTTGTATCACTACCATGATATCGCAGTGATAGTTCTCAACTTGAAGAGAAGGAAAGAGGAAAGCACTTTCTGAGATCACTGTTGCCGAGGTTCATGGGCCCGACAGACCTGTCTACATTCGGTGAAAATGACACGTCACTCCTCCTCCATCAAGCCACCCGCTCGTCCTCAGTTCCGATTCAGACTCAAACTTCACATTAATGTAAGGTTGAGCTATCAGACTACCGTCCTCTGCAACGTTTGACATCAGAAAAGTCCGAGGACTCGAGAGACGCGCTCAGGTGTGGGGCTCAGTCTCGAGGCCGGCGAGCAACGCCCTGCTGCGCTCTCTGGACGACGACGACGACGACGACAAGTCGCTGACACTTTCGATATATCTCTAGGCTAACAAGTATGTACCCCTTTCTCTCGCCATCTCTTTTCTGCCACTACTTTGCAACATCGTGCAGTCCCGATCTCGGGACCCTTGCTGACCTCCTCGCCGTCGTCCCAGTGGTGACCCGCTCAGCTTCGCACGCCGGATCATGGTACTCGTCGTCTAGTAAGCTCTGGACTGATAGCATTCATCGCGTACCACGGCTGACCATGCTCCTAAACCGCCGCAGAGACGAAGCTCGACGCGGAGCTCTCGTCATGGCTCGCGGCCGTGCCGGCGTCCTCCCCGCTCGGCGACTTTCCAACAAAGAGCTGTAAAGCAGTCATTAGCCCGTGAGTCTGAACGCCTTGGTGTCGTGCGAGAAGTGCTGGCAGGAACGAGGGGCGAGGCTAACGTTGGGGCGGTTCTGGGCTGGGGGGGAACGCAGACACGCCGGGTACTCGTACTCTGGTCCTCCGGCGGCCTACGCCTACAAGAGTATCGATACGACTGGAATGTTCGTCCCATTTCGCCCTCGAGCGTTTTCCTGTCACACGAGGGATCTGACAGTGGCGGGCACTCTTGCTTCCAGCAAGCGCGTCTTCATCCTCGGCCCGTCGCACCATGCCTACCTCGACGGGTGTGCGCTCTCGCAGTGCGATCAGTACGAAACACCAGTCGGAAACTTGCCATTGGATCTTGATAGTGCGTTTGAGGATGCCGTTCTGGCTTTCGTGAAAGGGCGGGAAGCTGACGTGGCGAGTTTGGCGTTAACAGCGATCGACGAGTTGAGGCAGACAGGCGAGTTTGAGGAGATGAGCTTGAGGACGGATGAGGACGAGCATAGTATCGAGATGCAGTTGCCGTTAGTCCCATCGTATCTTCATCCGTGAAGATCGACCGCCTGACGGTGCCGTTCTCCAAACAGTTACATCCGCAAGATCTTCGCTGGGTCCGTTCTTCCCATTCGCTTCCCTTCCCTCATTCCTCCAGCTCACGGGAAAACTTCCCTTTTCAGACAAGACATCCAAATCGTCCCCATCCTCGTCGGCTCCATCTCGACCAGCAAAGAATCGCACTTCGGCCGCCTCCTCGCGCCCTACCTCTCCAATCCCTCGAACCTCTTCGTCATCTCAACCGACTTCTGCCATTGGGGCTCACGCTTCAACTACACCTACTACCTCCCTCCCACTTCCGAATCGGCGTCCTCCCTCTCCCGCTCGAACCCTCCTCATCCCACTCACCCTATCCACGCCTCGATCGAAGCAGTCGATAAACAAGGAATGGCGCACATCGCTTTCTCTCGACCTCCTTCCCTCCCTCCTACGACCCCAGTGATCCCTCACACCCCTTCGAAACTTCCCTCCGCCTCACACAACGCGTTCGCGAAATACTTGAAGGAAACGAGGAACACGATCTGTGGGAGGCACCCGATTGGTGTTTTGTTGGGCGCGTTGAAGGAGGTCGAGGGGGAGGAAGGGTGGGAGGAGAGTAGGTTGGAGTGGGTGAGGTATGAGCAGAGTAGTCGGTGTGTGGAGGTCAGGGACTCGAGTGTCAGTTATGCGAGTGGGAGGGTCGTGCTCAAGTGAGGGGTAAAAGGGGCGATGTACGTGTTTGTCTACGTTGTGGTTCGCTTTCGTGCATGTCAGAATGTTCGAGTGTTTGATTTGCTGTCAATGTTGCTCTGTCTCTCTCATCTCAACATCGCGACCCCGAGAGGATTGAGAACGGCAAAAGGTTCATTTTTTTCTTCGTTCGTATTTGAAGCCGAAGTACAACACGGTTTTCCTTCTAGAAACGTCCCAACAGAAGACACAAACAGACACAACAATCTTCCGCCTCCCCAGCAACCCCTTCAGAATCCGAATCCACCCCCAGCATCCATCCCCTCCAACGCGCCGTACCCTTCGTCGCCCGCATCCCCCCTAGCCCTCGCCATGTTACTCTCCTGCGTGAACTGCTGCTTCATCGCCGCGAGCACCGTGATGAGCTTATCGCAGCTCTCCTGCACGGCTTGGATCGGGGTCATGGTGCCGTCGGTTTGGAGCTTGATGATGACGCGCGGTTCGAGAGGGTGGGGGACTTTGTAGCCCGCGAAGAGGACGTAGGGGAGGTGAAGGAGTTGGCTGGTGGAGAAGGGGGTTAGTGGGAGGGGAAAGAAAGGGAAAAGAGAGGAGAACGAACGCGCGAAGCATGTTGGCGAGGGTGTGGTCCTCTTTGTTGATGGTCAGGGTCGCCGCGTTGGGGATCTTGGTGTCCTCGTCGACTGTCAGTCTGGTGGGAGAATGGTTGGTCAGACAAGTAGGAAGAAACGGAGGGACAAGGACGGACTTTGGTTCGCCATCGGCGAGGACGAAGAGCTCGTAACGACTCGGCGCGTTCATGGCTTTCCTTCCTTCTGCTTCTTTCTAAGCTCGGCTACTGGCTCTCCTCAAGCGACCGTCCCGAGAGGCGCCGCTTTCCTTCTCCTAGTTTCTATCTATTCCCTCGAACATCCATCAAAGAACATCACAGCGTCAGCTTGGAGGTTCTCCAGCCGAAACACAGGGGAAAATTTGGTGGAGTGACGACAGGGTAGGGGACGAAGGGGATCAGAAAGAGCAATGGTTTCTCGATCAATGCGAGCCATCTCCCGTAGGAGTGACCCGCGTCAGGGGATTGACAGATTGATGATTACATAGGTGTTTCATCCTTTGAATGGGCAGGACGCTCTCGCGTCGCGTGTGGGCGAAGCGTGGGAGGAAGCGCGATGGACGATGGAAGGATGGATCGGGACGGGACTCACGCGTGACGGACGAGAGCGAGCAGCACTGGTGGATGGGAGGTGGTGCTGGTGGCTACGAGGCGTGCGTAGTAGGTCGTGTGAGAAATGTTGATGGGGATGGGAGGAGCGCAAGAGCAGGCGACGGCGACGACGACGGAAGGCGAGGGCCAGGAAAATAAACCGACTTTCGGGGGGTGACCTCGAAAATCCGAAATTCTCAGCCAGACAGCTTGAGGGCCAGCGCGGCGGCTTTCTCGCACCATCCACATCGTCCTAAATCGACACTTGTAGCCCATCAGAAAACGACACTAAAACTGAAGGTACATCCAGATGCCTACATTTTATCACGGTGCCACGACCACGCTGGAAAGGGGCGGCGCGGGATGAGGAGGAGGCGATTGTTGTTGATTGAACGCGCGGCAACGCAGGGCTTCGACGATGAGCTCGCAACGGCGACTATGGGTGTGCGACCAACATTTGCATCACTTCTTGGGATAATGGTAGAAGGGGACGTGAGGAAGGGACGGCTGAGCGAGCGCGCGCGGTGAAGGGATCCAAGCGTACGAACGGGATGCGACGGAAGGAGGAGCGTGCTGGACGCAGAGCGAGCGCTTGTCGGTAAAGGACGAAGTGTTGGAGCTGACATGCATGATCCAATAATGTAGACAGGCTTACCTGATCCGCATAACCCCTTGACGCCCCTACCTCCGCCGCCTCTCGTCCCGAGCAGCCAGCATCCTTCTACGATGCCCGTGCGTCAACTTTCACTACAAGTGTCCTCATAACTTCACACTAACATGTACATTTTCCTCATCCGTCCTTCTTACTTGCCATTCGAACCATCCCCGCGCTCCTACCTCCCACGTTTCGCCGTACCCCACACAGGCCGCGTCCACCTCGTCCATCACGGCACGACAAGAACTCCAGATGGAGTTCTCCGCCCTCTCGAACCCGAGCCACTGCCCAACAGGAATCTACGTCCTCCCCGATGCTTCCGACGTCTTCCGTTAGTCCCAGTGCCCTCCTAAACTTCGCGAACGCTCCGCTGATAGTAGACTCCCACTTCCAGGATGGCACGGCGTCCTCTTCATCCACCGAGGGTACTACGCCTCCTCGACCCTTCGCTTCACCATCACCATCCCACCAAATTACCCCGCTCTCCCGACCGTCACTTTCTCGCCGGCCGTGTTCCACCCGCTCGTGGA